CAGTCGATATTCCTAGGCAGCATGGGGGTCAGTCGTGATTCCGATGGCGAAAAATGGCGAAAAATTTGTTCTTTTAAATTAATCTTCGTTCCTAGAGTACACCGTATGAAATAAGCGGCGAAGAATAGATCGCGCCTCTAATTCTACTGTCACAGATGATTACCGTTATACGAATGATTGTAAAGGTTGCAGCTTTTATTTATTTTCTTTGACAGTTTTCGCAACATATCAATTTTAAGAAAACACATGGCCAAGCACGATATTTCCTTATGTGATTCTATTTCGATCCGAAGATCAACTTTTCTTCTTTTTGAATGAACTTTCTTTTCTTGAAATGTTAAGCTTCTCAACTGTATGCAATTACTCAGCGAAGTTCGTCGATCGCACAATAGGAGTGGGAATGAGCATGAGGTCGAATGATCATCACGAAGCGAAGACCACCAAGGAAGCCCTTGGAGTTCATTTCACTTTTTTCCGCTTTTCGCAAGCCGTATTATCGCTTGGTTGCCGTCTCGTCTACGTTGTCAGGCTAACGTTTCCTTCTACTCACTGCACCATTGGCCTTGGAGATTGTTCCAGAGAGATCCGACGACGTGATTCCAGCTTCTCTGAAAATCTGCATGTGGTCGCTTCTAAAAGCACTACCTTTTTCAGTGGAATCTTTTTCTGGACTGCCCTCCGCATGGCCGCTCTCGTCGTTTCAGCTAGAACGGCATCCTCTCCATACGTGTTGTCACACTTCTACACCATACTTTCCTGTCCAACTTCACCCATCTGAAATCACATGAGGATCCTTTCATGAAGACTGTTTCTACCTGTCGTGGCCCCCATGTGCTTTTTGATACATGAAGCACCTGAATGGGTATCAAGTCTCCCTCACTCATTCTATTTGTTTCCCATACCCGACCAGGATTGGATCGATAGATTGATGTCAATGTACAGACCAGATACTCATTCAGATACTTCCACGATTCTGAATTGAAGTCGAATGCGCGGCGCATACCAAATGGATTGATCAACACCGACTACTTCGTACACGTTTCTTTCGGTTTTCGATGGAAAATACCTATTTGCCATGATTTTGCCCTGCGGTTGTCAAGTCGTATTAGATAAAGTTTTGGTTATACGATAATAGACGATGTGATTGATACATAGAGATGCTTCAGAAGACCAAAAGAAAAATATACTCGAAATCAACAGCGTAAAAATCTCAATGCTATGCGGTGTTGATCAATTCCGTCGCGGTTCGCGCCATGTATTCGGCTACCATTTGGTATCAGAGAAGCTTTCAAATGCGGACCAGCTACGGCACGCGAATCGCAAGAAAAGAATAGAAGTGAAAGTCGGTATTTCATCTTCCTTTCTGTTTCGCCCTCCCTCCCTGAATCCCAGAATCAAATAACTTACCAGGAAAGGATGATAAGTCGAAGTGGCCATATGTGAAGAGACCTACACTGTTGGATGCGTTTTTGGACGCTGATCTCGAATCTGCTTTCCAAATCTGCCAAACGATTTTCCGAATGGAGTTATGAAGGAAAGTAGTGCAGCGGTAGTAGTCCGGGTTCACGTGCGAGACGTCGTAGGATCGATTCCCTGACGGGTTCTCCCTTTTGCCTTCGCGGCAACATGGTTGAAAAAGGCTCCAACTACGCTACTTGATTAACGCTTGTCTATAGTTACCCGTACAAAGAGTTTGGAGTTCCTAGCAAGCTTGGACGCTATTTGTCAACGTCTGTACAAGTAGCCACAGAACTCCTAGCAGGCATTTTTGCAGCAGACATAATCGTGTTTCGGAGTAAAAATATCCCTAAAGGTAAATTTGGAGCCAAATCACCTATCGATCATCAAATTAGGGAATCGATCCTACGACCTCTCTTCTGTAGCCTGGACCACCACCGCTGCTCTATTTTGCTTCATAACTCCGTTCAGAAAATCGATTGGCAGATTTGGAAAGCAGATTCGAGATCAGCGACAAAAACACATCCACCTTCATGGGTCTCATTGCACATGGCCACATCGACACATCATCCTTTGACTGAAAGGGTATGTGGAGTATCCGAGGAGGGATTTGATCCCGGACCATGCCGCAAAAGCGGCTCTCGGCCATCTCACTCCGTTATTAGGAGGCACCGTTGAAGATTTGAATCCTACTCTGTATTTGTACCACGCCGATTCGATTGTCTTAGGCGCACCTTGAGTGTAATGGTAAATAAACAAATAAATAAATAAATAAATAACAAACTGCAGTCGATATTCCTAGGCAGCATGGGGGTCAGTCGTGATTCCGATGGCAAAATGGCGAAAAATTTGTTCTTTTAAATTAATCTTCGTTCCTAGGGTACACCGTATGAAGGTATGAAATAAGCG